ATCAGTCATAATATCATAGGGGTTAAGGTAATCATACCCTAGCAACTGCGATCTTCAGGCTCCGATTCCTTAGAAGAGAAGTCATGCGAGGCCAGAGTGGTGAGCGCAGTTTATTCTGTGCAGAAGGATATATAGAATAGGCAGGAGGAATTTGACTCTCAGACGAGCGAGTAACCGCCGGCCACGGCGCCGCGTCTGTAGTGAGGTGACCGCGGGAGCGCGTCTGGAGTGGCCTTTGTCTGATTCAGCCTTGGCAGGTGATTGGTCAGATGGATTGGCTAGAGGGTCGGGTATAGGCGGCCAATGCATGCGTACTCGTTGGCGGTGGTGAGCCTTGGCACATGCTTGCCTGCGCGGAGTGAGTCACCACAACAATACTGACTACCAGCTGGGACCAGAAAGGCAAAAACGCGCTCTTATAGAGGGCAGATGGTTCATGGGCGTGGTATAGCAGATGTGTCATCGTACCGAGGTGCATCAATGCCTCATGACCTGCCATTATCTGTCGCTGCAGTCAGGAATGGAGGTCCACGCCGATGAGGGCAGCATGAGCCCGAAGCAGATTGCATCGGTCGTTTCACCTCTTTGCAATTACAACTTGGCCGAATTCAGCCTGGTTGCTGGTTGCCCATTCATGACCTTTGCCCTCTCCCCATACAAAGCTTCTTTGCTCTGAGAAGCTTATCCCTGTGCGCCAATCCCTGATTGGCTGATTGAATAAATGTGAAACTGCAGCTTTTAATAAGAAGAGGGAGGAAAAAAGCTTAATGTTCTCTGTTTTTTTCCCCACTCAGTTCTATGGGCTCTAGATACTGCCCTACCATGATTGCTTCTCAGGACGTGGCCGGAGGGAAGCGACTGGAAGTGGAGCCCGTGAAATCAGCTGACGTGCCGGAGCAGGTAGTTCCTCGGAAGCAGGATGTTGAGTCACCTGTGGTTGAGGTAAATTGTCTTTTAAAAGTTATAATAGAAAATTTCGAAATAGGCATTTATTTTTATCCATCTATCCTTTGCTCTGGTATGCTTTTCTTCTATTTTTTTGGAGAACCTTCGTCATAAATCGCCTAGAGCCTGCAATGCGCTGCACTTGCCCATAGTTTATGGAAGACAGATTGTTGGATGTTAAATGAATTGGACGATTGTTAACGCCCATTTCGCCTGTCGGCTTATTTTCAGCTTGGAGGTGGGGGATGTTA